GGAAGTTTCTAACAGTGCTTTAGAGAGGAAAAATACCCCCATATGTTTTAAAGAATCTGCTTGGTTCTTTAAAATATAGGTCTGTTCCGAATAATAGGATTGTGATCCTAAAGCTAATGTTGGTTACAACAGAGTGTCACTTTCTTACTTGCCGTGGCTTGTTGGTTGTATATTGACAAAAAAGTCATGATATCTAATCAAAAACACCTTAGGTGTGAAAAAAAGGTGCGGCCAAAAAAGGATTGAACAATTTAAAGGAATGATGGTGGGTAAAACAAAATACTCGGTCTAGTTAACTAATGAATGAATATTTGCTGTAAAACTATTATCTATGCTATTTGTGTAGCTACCAGTTTGGTGGCCAATTTTGATTTCATTCCTTAAAGTCGAACGCTCAATTATTTTTAAGCCGCACCATTTTTTCACAACTAAGATATTTTTCATTAGATTAAGAATAAACAAAATCTTAGGATGGGAGTAGGCCTTTGAGGAATTATAAAGGAAGGTTCGTATCTGATAATTATGAGATGGCTGGGTTATTAAATTCTGCTTTTTCTTCAGTTTAAGTAACAAAGATTTAAGCAACCTTCCTCGTCCTGAACAGTCGATAGATAGAAAGAAGTTCGAACAAGAGGATCACATTAATTCTGAGCTTGTTAAGAAAAGTGGGAAGTTTAAAGAATGATAAGGCTCCTTTTCCAGATAATATTTCCCCAAGTATATTGAAGGAGGTTAAGGATTAGATATGTGAGTCACTTACTACTGGCCCCCAGTGGCACAGCGGTATGTCTGAGGACTTACAACGCTATGAACCGGGTTTCGATACCCGTGGTGGGCAGAGCACAGATAGCCAATTGTGTAGCTTTGTGCTTAATTTCAAACAAGCAAACACTAGCTATTATTTTTTCTAGTCCTGTTGCCAGAAGATTGGAAGTTGGCTAACGGGAGGTGTTAAAAAATTGTCACAGTAATTATACACCTGTTAGTCATACATCAGTTGCGGGAAAAGTTTCGAGAATATGATAAAAGATGATTTGCAAGATTATTTAACAAAGTTTTAAATCTTGTTGAATAGTCAACATGGTTTCACTAAGGAAAATTCTTTGAAGAGGTTAATGCTTATGTATCTGTATTTTCAGAAAGCATTTCACAAGGTGCCACATGAAAGTTCAGTTTAAGAAAGTATTTCTGTAGGTGTGGAGAATAGGTTAGCTCATTGGATAGAAAATTTGGCTAAATGGAAGAAAGCAAAGGTTTGTTATATATGGAGTTCAGTCAAACTGGATTAATGCCAAGTGGGGTACCTTAGGGCTCAGTGCTAGAACTTTTGCTTATTTTATTTACATCAACGGCATAGTTGAAGGAATGATCAACTGATTATTTAAATTTGACATTAAAGTTTTGTGTGTATTATTTGATTGAATTGGTCGAATAGGTGGCTGATGGCTTTTAATTATTATAAATGCAAGGTAATACGTGTGAGATATCACAATTTCAATTATAAGTATGATTTTGATGGGAATAGTCTCAAGTGTCATGGAAGAAAAATATCTTGGTTTTTGGTTGATCAGTCTTTTAAGTCATCTAAGCAATTTGCTGTTACTAGTGGTAGAGCATATAGAATTTTATGTTGTATGTACAAAAATATTGAATACAATTCTAAAGAGTGTATACTGTTATTGTATAGGTCATCGGTTAAGCCACATATAGAGTACTGTGTTCAGTCTTGAGCTCCTTTTCTCAGAAAGGGCATTGAATTGTTGGAAAGTGTTCAGAGGAGGATATTAGGATGACACCTGGGATGGAATTGTTTTCACATGAGGGTAGGTTAAGATCTCTGAGCTTGTTTTCTCTTCACAAACGAATAATTAGTGCGGATTTATTTGAAATGTTTAAGATTGTAAAGAGAATTAATGGTGTTGATGCATTATCTTTATTTATATTTAATGGTGAGGCTGGTAAGACTAAGGGACATAAATATAAATTTTGGCAAGGAATAAGACATCTTCAGCTAGTTTTCTAACAGTATGGTTGGTCTCTGGAACGTGTTGTCTTTGGATGTGGTAGATGCAGTTAATTTAGTGGAGTTTAATAGATAACGAGATAAATATTTAAATGATAAAGGCTGGCTTTAAGTTTCTTTTTAGGTATTAGTTTAATTTAGCGGATATGATAGCCTAGATAGCCCAAAAGGTCCCTTATTGTATTTTAATGTCATGTTATAATAACAAAATGTAAATGTATTTTGACAGACTATAGATAAGTGTTCAATTATTTAAGTAGGGATTTTCCTTGTTAACATATATATTGCACATATTTTAAAAGTTTAAGGCCTGTTCAACTATTCAAATAGGGATTTTCCTTCTATATATATCTTTTGCACATAGTTTAAAAGTTTAAGGCCAAGGGAATGGCTCAGGCCCCAAGATCTTCCATTCGTTGCACACATGGTTGTAATATGAAAAATACTGATTCACATTAGACAAAGAACGTTATCCAATGATATGTTTTCAAGTGGGACAACAATACTGTTCTATAACTGGCGAAGATAGACTTTACATTGTTTGAAACTTCACTCCTCTTGAAACTGCAGTCTTCTGCTGGTTAGAGATGGTTTTATTATCCAATTTCGAGCTTAAATATATTGATGGAAGTTTTGATAAAAGAGTTAGCACAAA